GGGGGGGGGGGGAGGGGGGGCCCCCCCCCCCCCCCCCCCTCCTGAGATGACCTGCGGTTTTCTAATACAACTGGTATTCTGCAATAAAATAAATATGTGGTTTATTGGTGTTGAAGTAGAGCAAGAGACGAGTGCACCCCCTCCTAATAAAAATCCTGGATCCGCGCCTGTCTTGAACAGAGTTAGTACACAAATTGGAAGCTACATGTTTTTGTAAAGCTTCTCGTAATGTTTAAAACTTTCAATAAATACTTCCCTTTTCTTCTACGGTTTTTCCCCTGTTTATTTTATTGTTACCGTACATGCACGTGTCCAAACTCGGAAACTACATCGCGCTCCAACAGAAAAACCCTACAGAGAAGGCGAGAAGTATTAAGATAAAAAGAAACAAAGTACAGTTCTTGCAGGTTCATGAGGTCTTTAAATGTTCCCTTTTCCAGACGATGTAGCTTATTGTGAGCCAGCCTTCTACAGATACCCAGACAGAAAAAAAATGTAATTAATTGAAGTACGTTTGTTGCCATGTGAGCTTCTTGATAGACTAATTAATTAAGATAGAGTTTGATGATCTCTCAGCCACAGAACGTCAATTTGTCTGTAAATTGGTAAGACATCAGCCGTTGTAAGAGATCATCAAGGCTTAAGAAAATAATCTGCTTACCCGCACTGCTCATACATGTACATAAACGTCACTTCAAAATCGTTCTAAATATATTTGAACACTTAGCTTTAACCCTACAGGCCTGCAGAGGCAGAGGCTGTTGATGTTGGCTGATGCTGGTACGCAGACAACTTAATGTAGTCAGCCTACCACTTTAACAATTTAGACTAACAGAAAATAGGACCTGTACCCATTGCGAGATCACAAAATTTTACTTCTTCATAGAGGTCTTTAACCACATGTTAAATTTTCAAAACTCTGGAGCAATGTGCCCAAATCAGTTTTTAGAAAGTTGCAGTTGGTTCAGAAAAACTTTGCTGGAATGACCAGCCCTGCATGGCCTTGAAAATTAAATCACCTCAGAGGACAGAAGAAGCCTTAAAACGATGGTTGGTTTTTCATGGAGGACAGACTATTTCTTAATGACTATTTTGGTTATGGTACATAAATGCCTACGGCATCAAGTACTCAATTACTTTTATAGTTAGTGATAAAATTTGTTCATGTTATGTTATGAAAATTTCGAAAGCCAGTAATTCAAAAATAGGATGTACTTACAATCTCCTGAGCTTTGTTAAACCGTTAAACACTTCAGGGTTCATGAAAGAAAGTTCGTTGTACTGCAGGTTTCTATCAGAAGAATGTACTTCATCATTTTATTGTTAAGATTTTTTATTTCTCTATATTTCTTTGTCAATCCTATTGTTGGATATCTTTAGCATATATCAACTGAGCCCCAAATGGAGAGAGAATTTACTCGCAGGCTAACTAAAACATTTTTGTGTAACCATTCCACGTTACCGTCTGAAGGCTAAGAGTACACAGTCAACACGCCACGATACCTTTTCCTATTGTTTCTGCTTCATGAAACCTCGTTAATGGCATCATACATATGCACAACGTATTGAGAAGAGCCAGTTTTGTATCTTTCTGGAGTTTGATGGTAATTCTTACAGTGATATGAGTTCTTTAGTATCCTTGAACGCCTTATGTTCAATTTCCTTGATTTCATTTCTTGAAGCATCTCTGAAATAAGTAGTTTCCAGAGTTAAAATTACAAATTTACTAAATCAGATTTAAAGTTGTTTCCCTTGCTAGTTGCTCGTTCTTGCCTTGTGATTTTACGAAAAATCAGGATTTATTTTCTAGGATCATGTACTCTTATCAGTTAGATTAATAATGAAGTTAGGTTTTGCATGTCTTTCAGCTCTGAGATCAATATAAATTGAACTGTGGACTGTGTCAAAGAAATATTCCAATCCCATCAGTAGTGCACCTGCATCACAGTTGAAGACCTCCTCCAGTTTTGCTTTTTTCCTTAACAGAGTCATACTTGCTCTTAAACAGACTGAACCAAGCACAGCTGCTATGTAAGCTTATAAATACAAGTTAAATGTTTTATTTTCAAAGTAGTTTCAAGTTTCGGTTACAGAATTTGTCAGTACTTGGGTAACTCCATTTAAGTTAGTCCGAATCCACATATCTCGGCTCACGCTGAGACGAACATGGGAGGCCAGTTTTGTACCAGAAGTAAATGTATTTTTAGCCTGAAATTCATTCGATTGCTTCGAGTCGTTTTCTCCTCTCAACAACTTACTGAGGGAGTAATAACGACTCGAATTAATCGGATGAAATTCAGGTTAATGTATTTTGAAACCTTTTGTAACACGCTTTCAAGTCATTTGCTGTTGTTTTTGAAATCATAGAAAGAAGCAGTTTATCAAGTTATAAGGTAGGTAATGTAAGCCCACCCCCTTGATTGATTTTCTTCGTTTTATCCGCGTTATTTTATAGACAAACCTTGACAATCAATTATATCACTGCAATCATCTGAAAGCCGAGAACCATTCACCTCTAAAGGAAGAAAGAGCGATAAATTAGCTAAAAATTTATCTTTATTTTTTTTTTTAATTTTATGCTTCTTGAGTTAAAAATTCTGTAAACTTATCTTTTTTATACATTCAATTTACTGGTAGTTTTAAGCATTTTCTTTTGTGTCTACCACATGACACTAGTTCGTTGTATTACGGGCTTTAAAACTGACAAAAGATGGACCTTACAATACTGCGACACCAAGGAACCTTCCTCGAATTACCGAGAAACAATGTAAATTAAAATATCTTGTTCTTTTCTTTTTAAACAAATAATGCATTTAAATCGGGCGTTTCTTGCCTCACCACAAAGTGTACATAACACCACTGCAAAATCAGAGCCGTTCTCACTTTTTCAGTCGAGTACAATCAACATCTGTTCGTTAAAACAACTAAACCGCAGCCTGCAGTAGAATTGACTAGTTAAAGCTACAATCAAATAAGCACTTACTAGAAGTTTTCACAAGAATGATTCCAACGAGTATCATTGGAAGTACACCAAAGGTAAGAGTCATTTTTCACTCAACCAAAGTCAGGCGAGAACTTATACTACTCCGTTAACGGCAGACCATGGTAAGTCTTATGCTGGATATTAGATGGTATGGCCACCATACGGTCAACACTGCCAGCTTGACTCAAGATTATACTTCAAAATTAACCCCCTTAGTGAACAAAATTATCACATACAACTATTGTTTCTTGTCGCCTTTTGATCCCGCGTAGATTTTGATGGGTTTTTTCTTAGTGATTCGGCAAATCTGTAAGGTAATTTCCTTCTTCATTGTTATTCTAACTACCTGTATATATGTCACTTTTTTGACGTTTCATATTTACCTTTTAGAGCGGTTTTCACTTGACTGTCGAATTGGGATTGGTTTTGGTTTTGGTTTTGGTTTTACTACGTCCTTTGGTTGGCTAGTGTATTTACTTTGGTTTTGGTTTTACGACAGTCAAGTGAAAACCGCTCTATCTCACTGATGTTGTATTTTAAAAAAAAACCAACAACAAAAATGAGTAGAGAATTTCTTTATAAGTATATATAGCTTCCAAATATAATAACAGAATCCAATCTTTAAAGCCAAGTAACTTCGTGGAGGTCATTTCACTTTTCAATGTGTTATGTAATGCATACTATATTAGCGGGAGTCAGTGCTGTATTTAAAATTTCATTTCACCTGAGATATATTAATTCTCTATTTCCACATCTCCTATAATACACCTTGTTTTCCCCCTAAAAGTTTGAATAACTTTCGTTTTTTTAATGTCTCCTGGGTATTACAGTCACCCCAAGAGAAATAAAAGACGATGCTTGTCCAAAATGTTGAGGGGCAACAAGGTGTATTATGGGAGATGTGAAAATGGCGATTGGATTATTGCATGATTTAACGGTGAATTATTTATTACTTCTTTCACTGATTTATTCTAGCATACCTTTTTGGCCTCACAAACTTGAGACACTAGTACTATTCACTTTTAGTTTTTGCTTGCTTGTTTATTGTTTTGCCGTTTCAGTTGTTGTTGTTCTTGTTGTTATGCGACACCTTTGGTGGAAGTATTAGTTGAGTCAACGCACCATTTGTAGAACAAAATGCCGTTTACTCAACGACCAAGGTCACCAAATAATTGGAATCCTCCATAATAAGTCAGTGACGAAAACGGTTTTTCAATCAGAGATATCTCGTTTAACGATGAAGTGTGATCCTTCTTTCCAAAACAAAGCGAAAAACCGTAAAATATGTCGTTGTTTATGGGGTTAAAGAATTAATGACAGACAGCCAAGATGGCGCGAACCTCTTTTCTTTGAAACTTGGTTCTGAAACATAGGTTTGCTTTGTAATGAAATCTGTAATGAAATCTCTACTTATTTACATTTCCGTTTTTGTCATTTTATACGGTATATATTTATTTTTTTGGATCGGGTCTGAAATTTTATTGTGTTATTGACAACTTTTCACTCCTGGCTGTAGCATGTTACGTACTTAAACAATACGCACGGTGCTTAACCCTTACCGCGACTTTTCACTGTTACCTAAACAATGAAAACGCAATTTACCGAACTTATTAGTAGAGCCGGGTTTAGGATCTACAAGAGACAAAAAGCCCTTTGTTTTTTAAATATTTTCTCCCATGGATAGGAACCCTGAGGAACATTGCCTGTTCCACGGCTAGAAAAAGGATCTCTGAGATCAGCAGCTGTTCCCAGGGTAACCTGGCCTCCTACAAGTAATCGTCTTAGTCCCCTACCGCGTAAAACCATTTTCGGTCAGAAAGGTTTGGAATCTTTACAATAAATTGGTGTGATTAATATTGTTTAGCATTTTGTTGAAACATAATGAAGAACGCAAGAAAAAAGTACTGCGTAGTTTACATAACATTGTGCACATAGAAAAAACACTCTTTGACAACTACAAAAAATACAAGAAAATTGACTTCAATAATATCTGGAAAAGAAGGAATCGAGACATTTAACATTTTTTGCAGGTTTTTTGTTACCAAACAAGAACCTTCGTTTTACGAAGGTTTACTTTCAAAATATAAACACCATAGTATGTATTTGATATCAGTGATAATATTGCTCTCATCTGGAGGCGGCCTGTCCTTCAGCTTCAGTAGGGTCAGACGATGGAGAAATGGCCTGTAATCTCTTCAGTTCACCTTGTATTTCTATAAGCCGACCAGAACTACTACCAACCTAAGGAAACAAACAAAACAAACCATAAAAAACAATACAAAACGATAAATAAACGCAAATTGACGATGCACTTCTCGCCCGACAAATCGTCTTTGGTGTTGTGAAACATTTGCTTTTCTTTATCTTCTCCGTTTAAAAAAAAGAGTAACCAGGCATTTGAAGAAACTTCATTGTTTACATTAGAGGAACTGCATTAATTGAATTAAAAGAAATTGTATTGTTTACATTAACAGAACAAGAGTGTTTATGCAGTAATGGAAACTGTTATATTAAATAGGCAGGTCACAGAATCACAGGAGAATAGAACACACATACACTCTGTTAGGTACCAAAACCAGTTACATGACACATCAATATAAACATCTGCAACTGATCTGCACATTAACTGGAAACTATTTTACACATACTAAGTCACGCTTCGTAAAACATCGTGATGCGGCAAAACCAACGTAACGTAACGTGAATTGCGACCCGACAACACTGACTGATCTTGACTTTTCGCTAAATCCCAAAATGTTGATTATGCTAGGATTACTGATATAAATTGTCTACACGTACCTTTAATTTTCTCTTAACAAGTGGAAGGATGGTTTCTAATACAAACGAAGCATTTTTGAGGATGAAGTCATGCTGAAATCAGTTAAACGTTAAAAAATTCAGTTAAACTCGTAAGGCTTACATGATGAACTAGCCGACGTGAAAAACAAGCAAAAACTTAAAAGAAACTAGTATCACACCTGGCTTATATATCGACCAGACTTGAGAATGCCCTCAAAAAGAACAACCTGGTTTTCGAATAGATCCCCAATGCAATTAACAAACACTTGCTGAAGCTGGATAATAAAAAAGGTTACGTTAAAAAAATACAGCCAAGTAAATTTGAGCGCCGTCGATAGATGAATAGGTACATCTATGACACTCACATTATAAAAAAGGGACAAAAATACAATCATAACCAAATGTACCTTATATGTTTTACCCACTAAACCGATTATGTGAAGTTCGCGTTACTATTGCCGTTACGTTACTATAGTTATTCTGGTTGCTAGGTTACCTGCTTTGTTTTTAAAATTAAGATGTTTCTTTTCCGAGTTTTGACTTAGAAAAAGAGAACAGCATTTCTTTTCTTTTCTTTTTGTTTTTGAGAGGGGGGTGGGGTTGAGCCACACGTTATTAAGTCTGATTACCTGTGGTGTAATAACCCTTAAGCCATCTGCTACAAATCCTAGCACTCCTTTGATAAAAGACACTGTAGCACTGCTCAGGTCGACCTTGCTTCTACCTACAAACGAAACCAAACACAAAATCACTTTAAACTGATAGTTACAGTTTCTTGTGGTTTTGTTTTACGTGTTTACTACGCTAGTGGTAACGGGTGTTACTACCTTACTAACCTATTATACAGCAGGAATTGTCGCTGGTTACTGATCCATCTTGGTAACATTTGGTTTAATTCTGCTCTGTGATTGGTTAGCACCCCACGTGACTCCCTTTACTAACCATACGCAGCGCGCCTTTGTGTGAGCTACTAAAGGCTTGTTTTCACTAGCGACGGAGTCCGAGTCGGAGTCGTAATAAGAAGCGTAGACCTTATGATCTAGTGAAAACAGCGTTCCGATTCCGCTTACGACTCCGTTGCTTACGTTCCGCTTATGATCTAGTGAAAACCAGATTGTCGGAATCGGAAGCAGAAGCGGAAGAACTAAACCAATCACAAAGCGTGGGAACGTGCAATTTGATTGGTTTATCCTTCCGCTTCTGCTTCCGACCATCTGGTTCTCACTAGATCATAAGCGGAACGTAAGCGACGTAGTCGGAAGGGAAGTCGGAAGAAATGGAAACGTTCTCATTCTTCCGACTCCGATTCCGTCGCGCTTATGACTCCGCTTACGATTCCAATCTTTGATTTTCACTGGGTCATAAAGGCTGCGGCCGCACTTGGCAAGTTAACCACGTTAGTTTTTGAATAACCTGGTAAAAAATTCTTCAGAACGTAACACGGTTAAATGAGTTTAACCAGGTTACTTTTTATTAGCGACCGGACTCAATTTAGACTTTCACAAAGTCATTCAATGTCGAGCGCTTTTTTCTTTCTTTCTCTCTCGCTTGGGTCGCTCATAATAACGATCGCCTAAGATTTGACCCCGAATTACTGAAAAAAAGTGGTCGACTACTTAAAGTCTTAACTCAGTTGTGTTAAGAAAGAAAAGCTGAACTTGAAGCGAAAGAATTAACTTCGAAACTGTTGTGTTTGCTAGCATTCTCACTCGTAGGCGGAGATGATCGACTGATTGATAAGGTTAACCTGCATTAAACTACCTCACGAGGTGGTTTAAAAAAACCTAACCTGGTTAAGAAAATCCATTGTTCTTGCTTGATTTGCATAACTCGGTTAGAACTCGGTTAAGAGTGTAGAAAACCCGGTCGCACTCAAAGTTTTTTTAAACGAGCTAACTTTAACTAGTTAATTGGAAATAACTCGGTTGAGTCCACAAGTGCGGCCGCAGTCAACCTCTCAGTTACGACTCCGCTTACGACTCCAACACCGACTCCGTCGCTAGTGAAAACTAGCCTTAATTTAATAAAATAAATTCCTTTCAGTTCGTTTGATGTTTCGGTTGCGATATCTGGTAATCCATTTGTATCGGATTTAAGTCCATTTATCATCTGTACCACAGCATAGTTACTCACCAACAATAAAAGTATTAAAATTTTCAATTCCACAGCTTTCCATTTCACCACACAAGGTATTTAATTGATCAAGCCGTCCTTCAAAGTCAGTGGGCGTCCAGTTTGCCTCCTGTAAAGCCCACATAATACAATTAGCACATTTACATTGTTGTAAGAACGAATTGCGAATTGCGATTACATTAAGCAAGAAATAAGCATTACAGTAATAGCAGAACACACCTTGGCCCTGTGTCTTGCAAACTTCACCATCTGATCTCTAGTATCCAGTAACGCTTCGGCAATATCCCTCAGTAGCATCTGCTGCATTGAGAATGTCAAGTCCAAGCCTATCTCATGCAACTTAACAAGGAAAAAATAACATTTATCAACAAAATATTCTGCAAACGATTAGCACAGACATGTCGGACTCAGGTACTTTCGCAATTATCTACACAGTGGTTTATACAAAATAGTCGCCGGCAGATAATACCGTTAATTTAGTGTTCCAAACCATCAGACGAAGGCCTGAAGAGCCATTAAAGGTCTGTCTTTCAGTCACGTTGTTTACTACTTATCCATGTCAATGTTACCAGTTAAAAGTAGCACGGGAATATCAATGCCTGGAACGACATCGACACCAGTGAAAACGTTATTCGCAGAGTAAATTCCGGTACTTTCAAAATTCCTCAATGCGCTCAATTTGTTGATAGTAAGTGAAATTTTTTATGACTTGGATATTCTTGGTCAGGTGTTCACACCGTTCATAGTACACAGCAAAGGGTGATTTCACTTTATAGAGTCCAGAAAAAGGCAAGACTTTTATCGTTGCAGTCGTCGTAGTTTTGCAGCCCTAATGATAATAACACGATAATGTAACATACAAACTATCTTCAGCTACCTTTTCACACTGCTCTTTAGCCATACTGACACACACACCAATGGCTGCAACATCCATCTCTCTGTGAAACACTTGGCATGAAAACCGAGACACAAACTGCTGAAGTTCACTATTGGCCCAAACTACAAAAGCTGTTTGAAATAAATCAAACTGTGTATTAAACGTTGTAACAAGAAGGTATTAGCTACCTGGCATAAAGCACTATGTACAAAATTATGAACAGCTGAATGAGGTCGGAATGACGTCTTTAAGCCATCCGAAGACCTGCTAAATGTAAAAGAAGAATTCTTTTTACTACAACAAATGAGTTCTTCCTTGGACATGTGTGGACGTCAGTCAGGTATGCATAGATGGGATCCTGAGTGAGCGTTATGGTAAGATCCCCTAATGCCTGAAAAACATCACTTTTAACTAATACTGCCTGGTAGATGAATTCACAGCCGAGCAGTGAGTACTCACCTGAACTGAAGCCTCTGTTAGCTGAAAACACTTGATCAAACTCTTTGCCAGTTTCAATGATGCTACTAAAGAAAGCAGCTGACAGCTTAGAAATGTAAAGTGATGTAGCTCCTTCAATCTTTAGTTGCCTTCAGGAAACAACAACAGCAACAAGTACACAAGTTACCTACTGAATTCCATGAAAATTAGACTGCGTATCGCCAAAGTCCTTGCAAGATTTGTTACTATAATATGAGAATAACGTGTACATATGACTGAAAACTTGATTACACTTCACACTTAGGTACCGGTAGCTTTAATACCTTAGACTATGTTTGATGGCCTCACTTCTGTTTCGTAAGAACAGCTGACATGCCTGTCGGACAAAAACAAAAGTTCTTAAAGAAATTATTTATCTTTTCAGATGCTGCTTTTCCCTAACTGTGCGGTACAAGACCTAAAAATGGCAAAAAACTGTACTAAAAGTTCTCCTACAAGTATCTTTTCAAGGCTCAGATAAAGTTCTCTAAGGGAGCTTTCCATTTGTCAGAACTGGAGGGTTGTCCAATACTCACAAATAGACTCCATTGGTGTTAGTGGTGATAAGAAGGGTCTCCATTGGTACCAATGGTCCTATTGGTACCAATGGAAAAGCACCCTATTCCAATGGTTCTATTGGTGCCTATGCATTTCATTAAGGGGACTTAGATTATTTTCTCATGTGGTGTGGCTGGGTACAGGGCAATTCCAATGGTCCATTGGTACCAATGGTACCATTGGTACCATTGGAAAAGCACCCTATTCCAATAGTTCTATTGGTGCCTATGCATTTCATTAAGGGGACTTAGATTATTTTCTCATGTGGTGTGGCTGGGTACAGGGCAATTCCAATGGTCCATTGGTACCAATGGAAAAGCACCCTATTCCAATGGTTCTATTGGTGCCTATGCATTGCATTAAGGGGACTTAGATTATTCTGTCATGTGGTCTGGCTGGGTACAGAGCAATTCCAATGGTCCATTGGTACCAATGGAAAAGCACCCAAGCGAACTTGTCATTGTGTGGTTGGCTTATAGAACGAGGAATATTCATAATAATTATTAGCGCGTTTTTACTTGGTGTAAAAGCGAACTTGTTTTGCAGGGTTGGCTTAAAGAACGAGGAATATTCATAATAATTATAGTGCGCTTTTACTTGGTGTAAAAGCGAACTTGTCATTGCGTGGTTGGCTTATAGAACGGGAATATTCATAACAATTATTAGCACGTTTCTACTTGGTGTAAAAGCGAACTTGTTTTGCACCAATAGAACCATTGGAATGGCATCATTTTCCATTGGTACCAATCGTACCAATGGTACCAATGGACCATTGGAATTGCCCTGTACCCAGCCAGGTCACATGGGAAAATAATCAAAGTCCCCTTAATGAGATGCATATTCACCAACAGAACCAATGGAATGACACCCTTTTCTATTGGTACCATTGGTACCAATGGACCATCAGTTTGACGAATCGTGTCCGTTTGTGTATATTGGACATGTGTGGGCCATCCAGTTCTGACTTTTGGAAAGTCCCCTAACAAAGACATTGTTATTCTTTCCTTTTGACCCTGTCCTCTATGTAATAAACACACAAGACACACCTCAGCTGCTCTTCCCAGTCTCACAAGTAATGACACAGCTCGTCGTGTGGCCCTTGGACCAACATGAAGTAAAAAACTGCGACTACAATCCAGCTCATCAATGAGGGCATCAACTAGTAGTTTGACTCGGCGATCCAAGCGCACTCTGTTCACAAAAGCATTAGCAAAATATGACAATTTAAGATGGAATCCCCCAGGACATTGAGTAATTTTGATTTTCATTGGACAAAAATCTTGTAATGGAATAATTTTATTTAAAGCATATTGCATTCTTTCTTAAGATGTAATAAATCATCTGTAGTAACACCAAAAAGTATTTCTTAAGGGAGCCCGAGAAAATGAATGTCAAATTTAAAAAAAATTACATCGTACACATGAAATTTTCAGAATTTTACCCGTGTAATCATTTACAATACATCAATATTAAAAATATTTTAAAAATCCAAAAAATTCACTTGATAAAATCCCTGAAATGTTTGTAAATTGTAACCAAATTTCCTACTAAGTGACTTTTTTTCATTTTTATCCAACTGATACTCAACCCCTCAGGGGTAGATAATAATATATACCTCAACGCTCAGGGGATAGTTGTATACTATTTCATGAAGTAAAACTATTGCTTCCACTTGCTCTTTCTTGGGTTAACCAGGCAAATGTTTTACATCAGTAAAACAAAACTGATGAAACACTCCAACTTATTTTGATAATAGTCAGTTCAACAAACATACTTGATTTCCTTTGATGCTTGAGAGCTACTGTTCTCTTTTAAATACTGATTTGCTGAAAATCAAACCATCAAATCAACAGAGGTCAGGGAAATTTTAACTCATCAAACTTACAGCATGTTGATAATAACCTATTTTTACTGTGAAAAATAAAGCAAATTACTTACTTCGGTCAATCAACTCCATTGCCCTTTCAAAATCTCTTTGTGCTATAAACATGTCTAAATCTTCAGGGAGGTCTGTGAGCCAGCCTTTTTTACACTGACAAGAATTAAGCATTTTACTATAAATTACTTATCATAGATTAAGGCAAATTATACAAGTTTTAACTTTACAGACCACAATACAAGAAAAACTAATGCCCAGCCTGGCTCTGGTTGAGAAGCTTGTCTAGGTGTTGGTACTTTCTGGGCTTCTTTGATGATCTGTCAGAACTATACAATTATTCACCAAACTAAGCATTACAGTAAATATGTTCAAGATAAAAGCATCTAATCAAGGCAAGGTTCTAGTGCTTTCACTGAGCACAGAAAATCCTGGGTCAAAGAGATTGTTGTTATTATCTTTTCTGAGTACTTCTAGCTTTCATTGGGTGCACATGTTTTACTTATAGCTTCACTATTAATTTTAGTGAAATGATCCAGAAACGTTTTGACCGAGAAAGTATTTTTTTCCTAGAAGGAATGCCTATTTGTTAAAATTGTACCATTTTTATCAACTAGAGGCAAGTTAAGCAATTTTTGCTATGATGTCAACCTAATCATAAGCCAGGAGAAGGACTGTATACACATACCTTGACTAACTTTGAGCTGCTTGAACCAGGTGATGATGATGCCAGAGGTTCTGAAAAAATTAAACAGTTGAACACACCATAAATAAATGAAATAGTTAGAAGCATGCCGCGACAATTAAATTGACATTATATTAGCTTCTGTTTGTTTTTTAAAGTTAGGACCTGACTTACCTTCATCTTCATCAAATGGATTTGTTGATTTGCTTTCCTTGAATGGATTCTTGTCATCATCACCATCATCATCATCATCATCATCATTGTTGTTGTAAAAGGGATTCTTATCATCTTCCAGGAAAGGATTTTTCCCCACTTCTTCAAAGAATGGATTAGTGTTGTTTGAGCTACTGACTGTGGTTAATTCACCCGTAACTTCTGTGTCACCTTGGCCAACCTCCTGCTCCAACTTGAGCTTAAAATTCTTTTTACATTCTTCTATTTTGTCTAGCCACTCTTTCTACAGAAAAAAATGTTTTCAATGTTGACAATTTGCACGTACATTAGAAAGACAATCTAACACTAAACAACTATGGAGCTTGCAAAATGCAGAAATATGCATGGTTTTTAGCATAACCCACTAGACAGTTTAAGATGACTGTAATTTTTGTTAACCACACGATAGAATAGTCCATACCTTTATCTGTTTGCTTTCGGCTTCATAGACATGAGTCTCTGGAAACAACAGGATCTTAAAGGCATCTTTAGTACCTACACGCCCAAAAGTCATGTCCCAGATAAGTTTAATCAATTTATGAACATCTAAGCAAGTTTTGTTCCGCTAGATACCAACTCACTACTGCATTGGAGCCTGATGTTTTGATAACTTGTGTGAAAGTCAGTGTGAATATTGAGTCACCATAATACATGTACAACATGGTGTTAACCCACATTTTTGACCTTAATGCATACATATTAAATATATAAATTAATTAATAAATAAAATAAAGATTTAGAAGTAACACATCCACATACCACTCCTGATTGAATTGAAGTTTGAAAAATGTTGACTTTTGAGTAGAGGGCAGGATAAGCCTCATGGTTTCTTTGGGCTTTTTTGTCATATTCTAACGGATTCCTGTAATTTATTACTTTGTCATAATAAGGTGGCAAAATAAAAAAATAAAAAAATAAACCTAGAGTACCCGGGGAAAAACTTCTCAGAGAAAAGGAGAGAAACAACAACGAACTCAACCCATGTATGGTGTAAACCCCAGCCACATAAGTGGAAGGCCAGGGCTGTCACCACTTCTCCACTTCTAGCTCCCACGAATAATCAAGATCAAAGGTTAAGTTAAGTTCATACCATCAGCACTGGTCATATTCACCACTGCAACATTTTCAAGTTCAAATAAGGAAAGGAACTTGTAGCGAACAGGGCCTCTCCTAATTAGAGCAAGGTAAAAATAATTTGTTAAAACAACATTATTGCCAAAACTGTACAAACTTAATAATTTATAGCTAATAAGTGTATTGATAAGGAAGGAAGGGTTAGTTATTTAGAAATAAAATTGGTTGACAACTGATTAAAAATCAGTGAAACACCAGTTAAATGGCTCAAAAGTAGTTATAGAGTTTCATTTGCATCCCTATTTAACTGGCCTGTATCATAAAGCTTCTTTTTATAAGTCTCACCTGTTTTGAATAATGCTTGCTATGACCATACTGTCATGTAAGAGGAAAGCATGCACTTTCAACTTGGGAAGAAAAGTGTCTGGAAACACTTCCATCAGGTCTCCCTCAAATACACAGTTTATATCACTTATATCCAATACACCCTGCAATCGAAATGGCACTTTCATTAGTAAATTATTCCAACCTATTGCACAGAAAAGTCTTTTAAAATCATGGGAGGTAATGGATCAAAGAAGATGCAAGAATGATAACAAACATACAAGGAAATTAATAACGCTCCATGAAATTTAGGTATTGGATATTAATGCGACTTAAATTAACGCGAATGTAATGGGAAGTGATTTACGAATAATGAAAATTAACATGAAAGGTGAGGTAGAATTTCACCATAAAGAAAATTAACTGATTAAGACACAGTTAGTGGAGACTTTAGATTTTTTATTCCACAATCATTTTACTTTTAATATACAATAGACTGTGCAATAAAATAAATAATAATTATAAATTAAAGTTTGTAAACAAAAGGAAAAACATCAGACCTGGGTCTCAACATGGAATATTCTTATATAGCTGTCCAATACAGATTGTTACTTACCGCAAGACCCTCAACAGACTCAATCGAACTGCTTCCTTTTTCATCCTTGTTTAAAGGTTTTGCTGATGAACTTGAGTCTAATATTATTGTACACAAAATACCATCATCAAATTTGCAAATGAACCTTACTAACATACTGTAAATCCTCTATTAAGCCCCCGAGGGGACTTATTTATTTCAAGCCCATTTGAGGAGGGGGAGGGGGGGCTTATTAGAGACGGGGACTTATTTGAGATCTCAGATCAATCCACACAAAGTCTTGCAGTCATTGTTGACTAATACAATCTATAATTTATTAAGAAAATAATTAAGGGAGGGGAGTGGGGAGGGCTTATTAACTTTCTTCCGCTGAAAAGGGGGGGGTGGCTTATTAGAGGGAGGAGGCCTATTTGAGAGAGGGGCTTAATAGAGGATTTACAGTATACCTAGTAACGACTTAAGTCCATTATGTTATTTATCATTATTCCTTATCTACAAGTCTCTTGTTTTTGTATGCAGTTGAAAAAATGATTTTCCAAGAATACTTTTGACGGGCCTTCCTTGTTAATATTGTCCTCTTAAATTGGAAAAATATTTTAAATTAAATAAGGACTAAAAGACCACAGAGCTGTCATTAAGATCTCAAGTTGGTGGGTATATGAAATTAGCGGGTTGAAAATTGAACAGTTAGGAGGTTCTTTTTGGCTCTATTTTCATTTCCTTTCCTATGAAAGCTAAGTGGCCAGGAGTCACGCTCATAGTGGCTGCCCTGGCTCCTAATGACAGCCCTGAGATGATATTTGCTTAATTATATAAAATTCGCAATTTTAAATTTTGACTTTCACTTTCAGAGCTTTTCAAATTTACCTTCTGCTCCAAATAAAGACATATCCTGCTGGCTCGTTAGAATTGACTTTTGCTCTGCTAAGAAATGTCCTAACTGATACATCTCAGCCTCCAGATCTGATCAACAAAGCTAAGGAAGTTACACAATGCCACTACAATCTTGACAAACAACACATCAGATCTTATATCAAGCAGAAGGTTGTTAGATAAATGATTTATTTTGTTTACGATTTTAGCTGTCTTGGGTGTTTGCTACTGTAGAGTTCCACAGAATTTCGACTGAGCTGAATCACAAGGATACAAGATATTTCCTTGGAGGTTTCGATGAACTGCATGTAATTCTTGTAGACATTTTTCTTTAAACTAATAGCAGTTTCCTCGCTTAATGCCTGAATCCGCTTTCGGTGATCCTGAAGCTCTGCATCAGTGTCACATTCAGCTGATAAGTTTCTGACATCTGTGTACAACGTAAACAGGAGGAGACAAACTGTTAAAGCTTCTTATATTAATTGCCAGTCAAAACGTGCTCAGTACTACAAAAACGTTTTTTAGAAATTTTCTAAAAAATCAGATTAAATATTCAAATAAGTATAATAATGCCAGCTTACACTTTTCGGGATCAAAGGTGGTGCTTGTAAATTTTAAAGTCAGTGGTTCGTCTACTTTCGACGCCATTTTTGTTTTGGGTAGTGTCAGAGAAGTCCTGGGAGCTGGTTGTAAGTGGAAAGGCGCGCAAGGATTTGTGGGTTTCTAAAATGGCGGACAGCATGGACGTGGAAGATGCAGAAAGAACTACGGATTCTTTACCTGGAATCGGAGAGCTAAAAGCTTTTACTCAGGTGCTTAGATTAAGTTTTCAGAGCTGTCTATCGTTTTATGGGTTTGTCTTTCTCGTTTATTGAATATATTCCGAGTCAATGACTATGAACCTAGCATGGTTTGTTCACAGCTGATTCGCTAGCAGTTGAAATAGTGAAGTGTAAACATTTAAGACTTTATCAGTAAAACTAGAGCAAAAAAGGGGCTCGCTAAAGGAGGTTTTTTTACAGTTCATTTTCCACAGGCTTTCGAGTCAATCTTGGAAACGCGATAACATTCCTTTTCTTTAAGGATCATGCAAAATAAGAGTATCAGCTGTGCAAATGGATACTGTATATGTAATAAATTATTAGAGAGTGCTTTGAGTTTCCAGTCTGTAAAGTGTTTTAAGTTTCAAAGTGACACAGGTTACACCTGCATGTGTGTTGTAAGGTAGAAGAAGCATGAAAAGGAAATGGGAATGTGAAAATATTTTTTTTGTTGTATCTCAAGTGTTTAGAATGTGTGTGTTGAATGAAAGATAAGCTTACAATTTCCATTTGTTCAAAGTAAAATTACATTGGATTTTACTGCTTCTTTCAGGAATCGTTTGCGTCTATAGTGCAAGCCATTAAATCAGCTGGCAATCTGCCAGCTGCAGGGGAAGACCATGATTTTTATTACAGCTTCTCAGATTTCAGAGAATTTAGAACAGCTCAAGGAGCGAGACTTCTTAGCAAGTAAGCCACAAACACGGCATGTTTATTAGTATGGCTAATTTATTCCAAAATATTTTTTTTGTAATTGTGTTCTTCAGAATATTGTTGGTGTGACATACATAACTGCACCCACAACTCCCCCCTCCTTACAATTTGAATGACCCCATGGGGGTAGAGAATGAAGTAGATATAATAGACATAATAAGTAGATATTTTACTGAAATATTTCTACCCTGTAATATGTCGTGATTGCTTTCTGTTTGGTGTATTGTATTTCAGCATAGGTAATTTGCTTCGTCATTGGAGAGTTCATTGTCAGTGGCCATCAGACACACATGGTATTGAACCAGATGGTGATGAGCTGCTTGATAGTCTTGTGGAAGCAAATGATATTATTCTTGAAGGAGTGGTGAGTGTTAGATTTAAGTTCTGAATATGGCACTATTATTTTTGGAAGTATTTCCAAATTTATTTTCAGCATGCTGGCTCTCTAATACTGTAATGTATATTCATGGTAAATTTAAAGTTTACTTTAGGTGATAACAGTTAAGAGATAAATATTGACCAACGTAAAATTTGTCCAAAGATGTTTTAACCAAAGGAAAATTGGAATCACATGACTGTTAGAGAGAAAAGGGAGTGTCAGTTTCACCTCTTTAATCATCGGACATTCAAATTCCCTTGCAAACTCTGTCATGTGGCTGGGACACACCACTGTACAGTGATATTCACCTTATACAATGTAATATATAATATACACTTAAACAAGTGAAATTAGTTGGGAATATCCAACCGCTCAAATACAACCCCCTTTAATAAACAGACTGTCTGTCATGCTCAACTGTGTAATCCTAAGCATCTAAGTACTGTGTTATTTTTGCTTGGTGCATGCTTTAAAGTGTGTTTTGTTTCTCAAGGATAACAGCCTTGATGAAGCTGCAGGTCTTAAAAAATCCACCAAAGTAACAAACCAAACAGTGACTGGCGCACCTGGCCAACAAGGAACACCTGTCGTGTGCAGTTGGAATAGGAAAAAGGTGCTGAGCTGAGTCGAGAAATTTGTTATTTTATTGTCATTATACTGCATGTGATAAGGGAGAAGTAATAGCAGTCTAAACAAGATGCCCTCGTCATCATCATTATCAGTCAAGTGCGTATAACACTCATTTGGGCTTAGGAAGGTCTTTCACTCAAGGTCTATAAGTAACAGGTGTCCTCATACATTACATTCTGTCTCCTGTGTTAGTCCTCAATGTACAAAGTGATGAACCAATAGTTCATTGGACCAGGTGATGAAGTGGTCAGCCAGTTAGTATATGTATTATGCTGTTATGCGACTCATTGTTAAGTAATGCAGCAGTACCAAGCCATTACAGTGTATATCTTTTTCAAATTATAAGCTACGTCTCTTTGTAAACTTGCAGCAAAACATCCCAGGAAGTAAGGATTCCAATAATTTCCGTTTTTTAATGGCCAAGAACATTCAGCGACCACAACTGAGATTTAAAGATAAGATTGACAACAGTAACACTCCTTTTATTCCAGTCATCAAAAGAAAACCTAATGCACTGCGACCACTTGAAATGGGTGAGTATGAAAAAAATCGATGTGAAGACATCATTTCAGTAGAGCAAATATAGCGTAACTGATTTTGAGGTCTAGACTGTGTTGTTTATGTAAATCAAGGTAGGAAACTGGTAACCACCCCTCTAGCTTAAATTAGTAAGTTATAGTGATATCAATATTAAAAACTAATGCTTTTTGTGTTTATTAACTGTTCTCCTGTTTTACAAGCCATTTATTAGTTTTGTTTACATGATCTACATTTTGCAATCTGAATTTTCTTTGGCTGGAAAATTGTCAAACCTGTTTGCATTGATTTATTTCTGTCATAGATACTTTACCATAATATGAGACCAAAGAAAACAAATCTTAACCTGGTCTGAAAATTTTTAAACCAAAGAAAAATTTGAACCTTGAACAATATTCCACATAAAAGGTTTCCCATTACTACTACAGAGTGACAGAAGTAAGAAGTACATACACTTTGTTTGTTATTGATTTTAGTGGAACAAAGTGCGAGCAGCATTCAACCGGAGAATCTACTGGTTCCATCAGTTATTGCTGATTTTGTTCACCAGGAGAGAATGAGAGGAGAAGGACAGAATAGATCTNTCAAGGTCTATAAGTAACAGGTGTCCTCATACATTACATTCTGTCTCCTGTGTTAGTCCTCAATGTACAAAGTGATGAACCAATAGTTCATTGGACCAGGTGATGAAGTGGTCAGCCAGTTAGTATATGTATTATGCTGTTATGCGACTCATTGTTAAGTAATGCAGCAGTACCAAGCCATTACAGTGTATATCTTTTTCAAATTATAAGCTACGTCTCTTTGTAAACTTGCAGCAAAACATCCCAGGAAGTAAGGATTCCAATAATTTCCGTTTTTTAATGGCCAAGAACATTCAGCGACCACAACTGAGATTTAAAGATAAGATTGACAACAGTAACACTCCTTTTATTCCAGTCATCAGAAGAAAACCTAATGCACTGCGACCACTTGAAATGGGTGAGTAGGAAAAAAAAGGATGTGAAGATATCACTTCAGTAGAGCAAATATAGCGTTACTGATTTTGAGGTTTAGACTGTGTTGTTTATGTCAATCAAGGTAGGAAACTGGTAACAACCCTTCTAGCTTAAATTAGTAAGTTGTAGTGATAGCGTTATTAAAAAGTAATGCTTTTTGTGTTTATTAACTGTTCTCCTGTTTTACAAGCCATTTATTAGTTTTGTTTACATGATCTACATTTTGCAATCTGAATTTTCTTTGGCTGGAAAATTGTCAAACCTGTTTGCATTGATTTATTTCTATCGTAGATACTTTACCATAGTATGAGACCAAAGAAAACAAATCTTAACCTGGTCTGACAATTTTTAAACCAAAGATAAATTTGAACGATGAACAATATTCCACATAAAAGGTTTCCCAGTACTTCTACAGAGTGACAGAAGTTAGAAGTACATACACTTTTTTTGTTGTTGTTTTTAGTGGAACAAAGTGCGAGCAGCCTTCAACCTGAGAATTTACTGGTTCCATCAGTTATTGCTGATTTTGTTCACCAAGAGAGAATGAGAGGAGAAGGACAGAATAGATCTAGTGTGAACTGGTAAGCAATGATAATAACTTGCACATTTACACTGTACTCTACATCTTTTAAAACCTTATGTATGATAAATTTGATTTAAAAAGAGAATGAAAAAAATTAAACAGCTGACTTAAAGAAGAAAAAAAAATTCCCTGTTGACATGGTAATGACAGAGTGAATGATTACTGGCCAAATTTAAGGATAATGATTACCGTAGCCTTAATGACCAACTAGCTAACCTACTGACAGAGCAACAGACAGACCGACTAATTAACTTACCAACAGTATACAGTCAAACCTCCACAAATGGCCACCTTGCTACAACAGGCACTTTTTTGGGTCCCCAAGGTGGCCATTGTGGAGAGGTTTAACTGTATCAAGTTACTGTCAGACTAAATGACGGAATCATAGTGACATGACTGTTTTGCTGTCTCATGGAGATGGTATTTGTGATTAGTTAAAGTACAGGCATCTGTAAGAAAGAATATTAATAATATTTTTCCCTGAATTCTTAACTCTTCTTCAACATAGCACGGCACACCCCTATCAGTATGAACTGGAAGTATTTGAACCATCCAAGACTCAAATGAAGCCCCACAAAGAGCAAGTAAGTAGTACATGTATTTCAGGCGTGATCAGTAAATTTTAACAACAGTAATGGTGTCTTAAGCTGGAGCAAAGAAGCCTCCCTGATAATTGTCACTGTTTTGATGGTACGTTAGGTATGTGATAAATTACTAATAATGTAATGAGTTTGTTTTGTTTCGTTTTTTTCAGCTGTATGAGGTTTTTGACAAGACTCCCTACACTTTTGTGGATACTCCAGAACTGCTTCAAGAGCTGAGTGAGCATCTCAACGCAGTTACTGAGTTTGCTGTTGATTTGGAGGTGTGTTCTAAATGGTTTACATTGCATAGTATTCTAAAATAATGTGTAACACACTATAAATTGCCAAACCAATAATATGATACTTAATTAATGTTGTTCCTTATCTTTTAGTTAACCTCACTAAGGCGTTTCCTCAAAAAGCTATAGAATGTTGTAAAATCAATATTATGGTCATTAAAAAGCTTATGAAAGTGATAACCTAAGATTAAACCTTTGAAAAGTCTGAATCTACCACTAAGCAACCCATTATACAATGTACTGTATGTTATTGTACAGACTTATGAAGATGGAAGGGAAAAAAATTCCTGAAACTTGTGAATACTATTAAAGAAATGCTAGGTTATTGCATGACATGTTGACATTCTACTAAACTGTATGTTTACTCTAATTAATATTATAACTGTCTGAAATTAAGATTTACTAAAATTTACTTCTCTTTCTGCTATTAGGCTCATTCATACAGATCATTCCAGGGTTTCTGTTGTCTCATGCAAATATCCACAAGGAACCATGACTATCTTATCGATACACTGGAGCTGCGACATGAGTTGCATATCCTAAATGACTCCTTTACTAATCCTAACATACTCAAGGTACAAACAAAACAGTTATCCTTAATATGTGTGCAGAATAATGTACGGCAAAAAACATTACATACTATTAGATTTTACATTTTTTGGTTGATATCTGCAGATCAGTAGCCATGATGATAATATGTCATTACCAGAAAATTATTTGATATTTTGTATTCTCAGTATGGCTGTGTCAGTGTTTGGTTTATTTCTTATTTCTTCGGGCTAGGATACCGTTTATTTTTTAGTGTATGACAAACTTCTTTAATTTTGTCATGCTAACCTGAATTATCATCAATTATTATTATCAATTCTGGTAGGTATTACATGGGGCTGACATGGACATTGGCTGGTTACAACGTGATTTTGGTATTTATGTTGTGAACATGTTTGACACAGGCCAAGCTGCCCGAGTGTTAAACTATGGCTCTTTTTGTGTTTATTAACTGTTCTCCTGTTTTACAAGCCATTTATTAGTTTTGTTTACATGATCTACATTTTGCAATCTGAATTTTCTTTGGCTGGAAAATTGTCAAACCTGTTTGCATTGATTTATTTCTGTCATAGATACTTTACCATAATATGAGACCAAAGAAAACAAATCTTAACCTGGTCTGAAAATTTTTAAACCAAAGAAAAATTTGAACCTTGAACAATATTCCACATAAAAGGTTTCCCATTACTACTACAGAGTGACAGAAGTAAGAAGTACATACACTTTGTTTGTTATTGATTTTAGTGGAACAAAGTGCGAGCAGCATTCAACCGGAGAATCTACTGGTTCCATCAGTTATTGCTGATTTTGTTCACCAGGAGAGAATGAGAGGAGAAGGACAGAATAGATCTAGTGTGAACTGGTAAGCAATGATAATAACTTGCAATTTACACTGTACTCTACATCTTTTAAAACATTATGTATGATAAATTTAATTTAAAAAGAGAAAAAAAATTAAACAGCTAACTTAAAGAAGAAAAAAAATTCCCTGTTGACATGGTAATGACAGAATGAATGATTATTTGCCAAATTTAAGGATAATGATTACGGTAGCCTTAATGACCAACTAGCTAACCTACTGACAGAGCAACAGACAGACTGTCTAATTAACTTACCAACAGTATACAGTCAAACCTCCACAAATGGCCACCTCGCTACAACAGGCACTTTTTTGTGTCCCCAAGGTGGCCATTGTGGAGAGGTTTAACTGTATCAAGTTACTGTCAGACTAAATGACGGAATCATAGTGACATGACTGTTTTGCTGTCTCATGGAGATGGTATTTGTGATTAGTTAAAGTATAGGCATCTGTAAGAAAGAATATTAATAACATTTTTCCCTGAATTCTTATCTCTCCTTCAACATAGCACGGCACACCCCTATCAGTATGAACTGGAAGTATTTGAACCATCCAAGACTCAAATGAAGCCCCACAAAGAGCAAGTAAGTAGTACATGTATTTCAGGCATGATCAGTAAATTTTAACAACAGTAATGGTGTCTTTTGCTGTAGCCAAGAAGCCTCCCTGATAATTGTCACTGTTTTGATGGTAGGTTAGGTATCTGATAAATCACTAATAATGTAATGAGTTTGTTTTGTTTTTTTTGTTTGTTTGTTTTTTTCAGCTGTATGAGGTTTTTGACAAGACTCCCTACACTTTTGTGGATACTCCAGAACTGCTTCAAGAGCTGAGTGAGCACCTCAACACAGTTACTGAGTTTGCCGTTGATTTGGAGGTGTGTTCTAAATGGTGTACATTAGGTAGTATTCTAAAATAAATATGTGAAACACACTATAAATTGCCAAACCAATAATATAATACTTAAGTGATATTGTTCTCTATCTTTTAGTTAACCTCACTAAAGCCTTTCCTCAAAAAGCTATAGAAGATGGAAATGTTGTAAAATCAATATTGTGGTCATTAAAAAGCTTATGAAAGTGATAACCTAAGATTAAACCTTAGAAAAGTCTGAATCTACCACTAAGCAACCCGTTATACAGTGTACTGTATGTTATTGTACAGACTTATGAAGATGGATGGGAAAAAAATTCCTGAAACTTGTGAATACTATTAAAGAAACGCTAGGTTTTTGCATGACATGTTGACATTCTACTAAACTGTATGTTTACTCTAATTAATATTGTAACTGTCTTAATTAAGATTTACTAAAATTTACTTCTCTTTCTTCTATTAGGCTCATTCATACAGATCATTCCAGGGTTTCTGTTGTCTCATGCAAATATCCACAAGGAACCATGACTATCTTATTGATACACTGGAGCTGCGACATGAGTTGCATATCCTAAATGACTCCTTTACTAATCCTAACATACTCAAGGTACAAACAAAACAGTTATCCTTAATATGTGTGCAGAATAAT